CACTATTTATTATATTCCACTATAAAGAGAGAATGTTTCTCTGGTTATCACATCTGAGAACACAGCTGTGACATACATCCTGTACACATCAGGAACACACCTGAGCAGGAGGTTAGCTCTACTTTACCTTGCCTTGTGGAGTCAGAAGTTATTTACTCTGTAGTGGAGAACAGACACGAGTGAGCTAGCCCCTTTAATTTTGACCCAGGTTATCTCTGTGTCTCACAGAAAGATAAAAATCCAAGTGAAGTCAGGGTTAAACAACGTAAGTGAGCCAAACAGGAAAAATTCTTCCCAGAGAGGGTGGTGAGGCACTGGAACAAGTTGCCCAGGGAAGCTGTGGATGCCCCATCCCTGGAAGTGTCCAAGGCCAGGCTGGATGAGGCTTGGAGCAACCTGGTCTAGTGGAAGGTGTCCCTGCCCATGGCAGGGGGGTTGGAACTAGATGGTCTTTAAGGTCCCTTCCAGCCCAACCCATCCTATGTTTCTATGAATGGCAAGCCCTCTGTCTAGTCCGACCATCTGGCAGGACCACCTCACCCTGTGCTCCTGACTAACCTACCCTGAGCTGCTCGCTGCTGCAGGGGCAATCCCACTGACAGGGAGAGTTTTCACCGCTCGCTGTTCTCTAAAACGACATCACAGAGCAGCACAAAGTACAATGTTTGCAAGTACATAAACCAACACAAAACTACCCCTTTCCCCTGCATCTCTTCCCCCTTGCAAGCACCAGTCCCTAAAAATTACCTTCAGCTTTTTGCCCAAAGAAGTCAGAGGAAGCAATAATGTTTTGTCTTTCCTGACGGATGTGTGGTTTTTACTTGTGGTTAGTCACCCATCTGAGGTGTTTTGGCTATTTTCTTAATTTTCTGAGGATTCTGAGAAAAATAAAGAACCTGAAAGGAATCCCCAACAGTCTGTAAGCTCAACACCTGGAAGAAAATCTAAAAAACCCAGTTTAATAGTGCAGTTGGAATAATTTCCAATCCCCTTAACAAATAACATTATCATAGCTTTGCTGAAGTTCATGGCAAAGTACCAGCCCAGATGCAAAATTTCCTCACCAGCTCTTAATATAGCAGTGGTGGGGCGGGAAGTAAATGTAATGCCACAGGTGCCACCATCTGCTCCACAGTCTGAAAGGGGGACTTTGTTTTGGAGCTTTGTTAGTCCATTCCACTCCCCGCTTTCCAAAATTCAGTATTGGGTTATTCGACTTTGATATACTTCAGTGCCAAAGATAACAAACAAGCAAATAAGTAAAATGTGCTGAGGGAGGTTTCTGAAGGCGTAAAGAGGAGGCCAGCACCAAACTCCCATCACTATTCCCATGGAAGCTCTGCAACAGGCTACTCTCGGTGGGTCTACCTTTATTTTTTCTTAGATTAAATTAAGATAGATTGGTTTGTGTCCTTCTGACAAAACTGCTTCCCTGAAAAATGGGCCCCTTGCTATACCTTTCTATAGGCAAATCTACCACTCACTGCCGGTGGTGAAACACACTGAAATGTCATTAGCTAAAGAAATGAAATACAGATTGATTAAAACCTACGCTAGGTAGGCAAGTGCAGTCCTAAATAACCAGCCTGGTAAGCCTGTGGAAGTGGCCAAATTGAGTTCCCACAAGGCCCTCAGATGGGCTGGAGCTGAACCGACGTGTGCAGACACCTCTACCACATCTTCCATCAATTCCCTGGGTTCCACCAAGCTCAGCTTCTGCGCAGCCCTCTAGCCCCGCAGCCTCGCTAATCCCGCACAGCAATCATTGAGCTCACTCCCTCTGGCCTCCTCTGAAGGCAGCAAAGACAAGAACCCCTCCAAGACAGAGCAGCAGAGGTCCTCGGACACAGAGGCCGAGGTTGGCTAATGTCAGTGCAGCTGAGGAAGAACTGCTCCTCACCCTCATACCGCTGGCGCCGGGCAGGGGGACATACTTTTAAAGCAAGCACACAGTCTTTTATAATCTACCGCAAAGCATCGTGCCATCCTGCCTGCAGGCCAGAAGATATTAGATATTTTTTATACCGACCGAGTGCACATTATTTTACAGGAATATTGGCACTTCTATGCAAACATGCACGTGTGCGTGGGTAGGTGGTGGGGAGGGCTTGTCTTTGGTCTTGCTGACTATGGCCTGTATATCGAAAGCCCGTTTGTGTTTGGAGTTTAGGAGTCAAAAAGCTGAAAAAAAAATTAAGACAAAATAGTGACTATCCAGTTTAGACACCACAGGAAAAAAAAAAAGAAAAAAGAAATTAAACAAAGCAACAAATGTAACTTGACGGAGAGGAATGCAGTAAATGGAGCAGAGTCAAAGATTGTTGATTCAAAAGTTTTGCCATGAAGATTAAACTGAAAACCCACAAAAAAGCTCCCACCCAGTGTGTAAAAAAAAAGTGAACAAATGAAGAGGAACTGGAAGTTAAATCTGTGTAACATTCAATTGATTAAAGGTATCAGATGCTACCAAAACATTTGTGCCAGAGAGTTCAGAAATCAGAACCTGGGATTCAACTTCCAAGACGGCAAAGGATCCAGTGTTTAAGATTCAAGCGTGGTTTAGTACTTTCTTTTACATAAAGGACCTCAATCTTCTTGTGAAGATTATCACTACAAACCTGAGTTTATAGTGTCTGACCTACACGCCTATACGTCAGTGCTCTCTAGGCACAAAGGATATTCTCAAATGCATGAGAATTTGAGTGTGAGAATGCGTGTGAGTGGGTTTTAGTAAAGTAAATGTTGACACTGGCAAAATTCTGAATTTTCCATCTTCGATGTCAAATTTCTACAAAACCAGATATGTAATGAAATGCAATACCCATCCTACAGCAAACCACTCTGAATCCTCCAAGGTCAATGAATTTTGAGAAAATACTCTTCAGTTTCACAGTCTTTCCCTGTCTCAGGAGAAATTTCGCAAAGTTTAGCCCAATTCCCTGAGACGTCTGTTCATTCGCAGGAAAAACCAGGCTGTAATGGTTTGCCAGCCAAGATATTACCTTCCGAGAAACCAAGATTCTGGTGGGTAGAATCCCTGCGAGACAATAGTTGCGGGGAGTTCAATTTCATCATCTCCGTCTGTTCTCACAGCAACCCTGATAGATTGGGCATGAATCCATAGCTGGGAATTGAGTTCACACCTTACGGGCTATCCGTCTGAGCTGCACACCCATGAAGATTTCTTCAGAAAGGTTTGTGCTCTGTTATCCCGCTCTTACCCCGGAGCCGCGCAGGCACATGCACCAGATGTGTCCGCAGTGCTCCCGCGTGAAACTGTTTCCCCGCTGTATGCCGAGTCCAGAGCTACATTGGGACCAGCAGGAAGGTCAGAAGTCACCGTCCAGCCCTTCCCTCCATCTGTATGTCAGCAGGCAGGTGCACGGATCCAGCCCAAGCGCAGGATCAGGTAGGGCATCACGGAACGTCTCACCTCTGATGGGGAGGGACTATTTTTACCAGCGTGACTCATGGTGGCCTCCGAGGGGGTGCAGCAGTGGCAACAAGACCCTGCAGACCCGTAGAGGCCTTCCCCGTGCTGGCTAGACCCTCTAAGAACAGGCTCATCTCTCCTGACACCAAACAGCAAGGAACCGGGAGCACGACATGCAGTGGCCAAACGAGAGAGCAGCCGACCGAGGGCGTAAGGAGCAAGGGAAGCATTTTACCTCAGGGGTCTGCACGAAATCTCTCTGAAAGGCAGGAGAGTCTAATATCAACTCAGCGTGGTGCAGGGAGAACTGTTTTCCCACAGGAGGTACAAGGCATATTGCAGGAGGAAGGGGAAGGAGTGACGTGGAGAAGGGTTTGGACATGGAGGGATGGCTGAAGAACTGCTGGGGATGTGGGAGCCGGAGCAGCCGGCGGGAGACTCCGAAGCAGGGGCAGGTGGAGTTCAAAGCCACAGTGCGGCTGCAGCTCCATCACAGACTCCTCAGGGCTGGCCTGGAGCGTGCTCCTGGCGGGAGCTGAGCCGGAGGGAAGGTGACTGTGTGAGGGAGCTGCCAGGCGGGACTGGCAGAGGGAGCTGCCAAGAGAGGAACATGGTGGGGCAATGGAAGCTATGGAGGGGACGCACCTCGAAGGGCAACGTTGTATGAAAGCTGAGGGCTCCCTGGGCTCACACGTATTTCACTGAGGGGAAATCGGGCTGTGCTCCGTGCAATATTTTAGCCACATCTATTCCCTCAGCACCACAGATGCAGGCAACATCTCACCAGGTGATTGCTGGGAACTACACCGAGAGAGAGCGAAGGAGCCGAAATACAGTGGTGTTCCCCTCGGCACTAGGGATGCGCTGTGCCTTGCCAACCCTCACGCACAGTTAAATCACACTAGAGAGAAACCTGGAAATACTGGGAGTATTTTTGGAGGTGAGGAAGTAATGTCGTCATCCAGGTTGGTTCAGATTCAACTCTGAATGAGAGGCCGGGGGCAGCGCAGCTGCCCGAGACCATGAGAAATGACAGAGGATTTGCATCGACCTGACTGTGAAACGATGTGATGCACTTTCCTGAAAAAACAGGGAAGGAGCAGCATCAGAGCTCGGCTGGTGCTGGGGCTTCTGAAGAAGGTGCTGCGAGGGAGAAAGGAGTGGAGGACACTGCTGCTTAGTCAGAGACTCTTCTTTTATCTTCCTACATTATCTCAGGCAATGTTTTTGTGAACTATGAATGGAATATTCTGTTTCCACGAAAACATCCCCAGCCTTCCAAACCAGAAATGCATTTACCTCAAAGCTGAAAACCTCAGAGCTCAACAACTCTAAACACGGCTTTTGTGAGCACAGTGCGCAAGCGTGGGTAGAGTTTCAATGGCTTTTCTATCATATTGACATCAGCATAAAAAAGTGAAACTTTCAGATTCTAGAAAATATCCCATGTGAGATTCTAATAATTTTAAGATACACAAGACAAAATTTAAAGGTCTCTTTTACATTTACGGCTTTCAGCATTTGAAAAGCCATTTCTAAGCATCTACTTAGAAAATAAGTGCAACAGTTTTACAAAATATTATGATGGTTTTACAAACATTTTAATCAATATAGTCTTCATTATTTTCTGACTCCCTATAAAAATTGATCTATTTTATGGGCATTTATTTATGCTAAAGATACTTATTCAGCCAGTTGATCATATCCTGTCTTCCTTCCTCAATATAAGGTTTATCTTGAGGATTGATATCTTCTCTTTTGCGATGTACAAACCCATGCGTCTGTCCTGGGTAAATTTTAACTTCATAGTCAACTTTACAGTTTTGTTTTAGCTTCTGCTCCAGTAGTGTAACCTGTAACACAAGGATGTTACCCGCCAGCTGAGTACGGAGTTAACGTGTTATCTATTTACAGTCCTCCAACTGTCTTGCTTTTCCACTTTTCCAGGAGACACAGTGTGTCCTTGCCATCATTTTGTCTTCTACTGATTTTATACCCAAACACAGTTCTGTTACTATACTGTCTTTATTTAACTAGGCCTTTTTTCTCCAGTAAAATAAGAGCATGTGACTGTGTAAAACTGCAAAAAATTGTACAGGTTACTGTAGTAATACCTGTAAAGGTGAAAATAGGTGTTGCTCAGTGTCATGAGCTTAGCATGTAGTGATCACTCTGCAAGTTACCGCTGATAGACCTCACAAAAAAAAAGAAAAAAGGGGGGGGCAAGATTTTGAATCTATTTGGAATTGAGAGGCACAGATACAAAATCAGCAGTTCAAAGCTGCTGGCATTTTTGGCACGAAAATGAAAGCCAACAACACTCCATGAAAGCATGCCTTCCTTTTAGATCCCCTTGGCAGCTAATCGTCTTCCTCCAGTCAATCCCCACCCAGGCTCCCCAGGAAGGCTGTTGGCAAGACACCAGAAAGGAGAAGCTCTGCAGAACAGCGGAGGAAGGAAAAGGACAGTGACAGCGTTTTTTCATTCTCCTGCAACCAGTGATTTCACTGGTACAGGTGAGGACTTTCTGCTGATTTTATGCACCATCAGATTAAAGAGGGTCTCCTAACATAAACTTGACAGGAACCTTCCTATGACTGCCATTATGGATTCTTGCCCCTTTCCTCCTAGGAACTACCATACATAAAACATCCGCATTTTGCAACAGAAACAGAAAACTTTTTTTTTTTTTAGCATCACTGTAAAGCATTTTGGTTTGGGGGATAAACAAGATAAATTTGTGTAGAACAACTGCAAGAGTTAGTGAGGGAGGAAGTAAAGTGCAAATTTTCTAGTTTATCTTAATTAAATAGCAAATTACAAAACAGGCGTGCAAAAGCACAGAAACACAAGTATGTCTTATATGAAACTCACCTGCTGCAGTGGGATGTAATCATCCTTTTCAGCAAAAATGAAAAAGGTGGGGTGAAGCAAACTGGATCTGTCCTGAAAGAACTTGATCACTCCTAGGGAACAAGGAGTGGCATATAAAGTGAGTCATACTAGTTAAAGCGGTTAAGTCACTACTAAAGCTATACAGTCACAATAAAAGACATTATGATCAGTTATTGCTGAACAGCTTGTAATGGAATTAGACTTTGATTAAAAGTCCATTTTGTTGTGAGAACTTCCTCTGATTTGGGAATGTCATTAAAGACAGAAAGACCAGCTCTGTTGGACAAAGCCAGGGGAGAACTGTTATACTTTTGCCCCATTCTCACAGATTTCTTTGGGGATCTGCTTCTGACCACTGTCAGAGACAGGGTCCTGTGAAAAACAGACACTTCAGAGCTTCTCGCCTCTAGCCTGGCATTACAATTAAGACAATTGTAAATATTCATCCTTCCAGACACCTGGCTAGTGTGTACATATGTTTATACTAATTCAAAGTCATATCACATTGATACTGTTATTTTGACTATTCAATATATATTTGAATTTAAGTAACAGTAAAAAAAAAAAAAACACCACCAACTAGCTAACACCCTGGCCCTGGGTTATACACAAATACAGAGCTTTACAATAGACATATTAAAGGTGGCACGAGTGTAGTAAGAATGGAAGAGTAAGAGTGCAAGGGTTAGAAGTGAGTTAAAAAATGGTTCATATCAGTAGCGAGGGGCCACTGCCAGTTGTAACACTGAGGAGTAAGTTGTTGATGTCATGACATGAAGGTCTGCAGCCTGTGCAGACCCCGGCCCAGATAACCCATCAGCAGAAGACCCTGCACTCCGACAGAAGGGCAGCAAAAAGGCTGTAGTGTATCACCCCTGCCCCTGCTCTTCCTGCCAGCCCAACAGGAGAACAGAGTACAGGCATGTGTTTCAAACGCGTTTGCAGACAACGAAAACCAGACAGTGGGCAGAGACCTGTCCTGAGGCTTATACAGGCTGAGGTAATCAAGACACTGAGGCCAACATCCACCCCATAGTAACTGCTGGTTCCTAGAAGACATACAAGATCTGTCCAGGAGCCATTTTGTCACTGCCAGCCAAGAGGAGCCTGAGCCGTAGCGATACCTCAGCACTCGGGGTCCCTTGTATGCTGTTGCACAGAAGCACTCCTGGCCATGCCGCTTGAATAATCCTTGCTGGCTAGGATTCTCCCAGTGCGAGAATGTGAGTGCGCAAAAGCCAACTGCTTGAAGAGTTTGCATAGTAAAATCACCTTCTTCTTCCACAAGACATCACACTGAATTTTGCTACAGGAATATCCCTACAGAATAAGTTCCTGCTCCGGTCACGTCTGCTCGCAACAGGCATTTGAGACTTACCATAGAGGGACACCCCTGTCTTCAAATGAGGGTTTTTCAGCATCAGATGTTGTACTGCTGCTCCACCCCAGCAAAACCCAACAGCACCAATCTTCTTTGCGCCGCACTGCTCCCTTAGATACTTCAGGACGACATCAACTTCTCTGAGACATGTAAATGAAAGTGAATTAAGGCTCTAGCGCTGTACCCCCGGCCTCCAAGGTGGCTGCTGCTCGGAGGCTGCCCAGGCATCGCTCTGCTGGTGGGGGTGGCGAGTGACTCCCTCTGCATCACTCCTGTTTCTCCTCTTTCCTTCACTTATTAAACTATCTGTCTCAAGCCATGAGGTTTTTTTGCTTCTGTTCCTCCTATTCTTTCCCCTGTCCCTCTTGGAGCGCATGAGCAAGCAGATGTGTGGGTGCCTGGCTGCTGGCTGGGGTCAACCTACAACATTAGTTTACTATTATTCATTCCTAAAATATAAGAGAAATTCCATAGGAGCAGAAAAAGGAGAAAATGTGCAAAGTCACTCTTCCTATATCACTGTTACTAGAACCTAAGGTGATTTTATAAACAGCAATCCAATTAATTTCACAAGTGGCCATAGTTGTAGGCGAACATAAATAAAAGTTTGAGACACAGAGCCAGTCAAGAGCATCTCGTTATCACAGATGTGACTATAAGTAAACTGAACGTCATGGGGGAAACAAATATTTTACAAAATTGTGGAAGCGAATTTGCAATCATTGCTTCAGAATCAGCACTAACAGGACTCATTTTCCCCAGTTAAATAGTGTTTGGTGATGATGTTTGCACCCTAGTTGAAACCCATGGAAGTTGCACCTGTCTGGAGGAACTGAATCAAACTGAAGTGGAAGGAGAGAGTTGTATCTTCAAGCTTTTGCCAGTACTTTTCTTTTGAGTCATTAATCTCAATTCTACTCCCTGAACAGGTAAACAGTGGTCACTTCCATTCTTGTCCAAAGTTCTACTATTCTCCAAAAAACACCCCTCATATAACCATGAGCTTGACCCAAGAGCTGCATGAAATTTCTGTTGTGGACATCCGGATGTAACTGACCTACTAATAATTTAGGATCTAATCCTGCATCTTTATTGAGGAAAAAGCTCCTACTAAAGAAGGATGTCCACTCATGGGACAAGGAACAATGGTTGTACTTGTCTGTTTTGCCAGCATCTCGAGTTTTCAGCCAATCATCGAAAGACGCCCAGTCATTAGAAGGTTTCCAAGCTTCTTGTCCCACAAAAAAGTCTGGGCAGATGGCTCTGCAAGAAAAATGAAAACATTTCATTCCCATGAAATAATGCTAAGAAAGGATTAAAGGGAAATTCGTGGGTACTCTGCAATGAATTCATTTTGTTGAATACACATAGAATTTAATCTATACCAAAGCATTACACGAGCAACTCTCATTATTTTTCTATGTCAAATAAGAAGACAGCATAACTTCTAGATATATTTTGCCCTGACAAAATTCATTCATTAACATGACAAATTGTTCATTGCAGCTGAAACTCCTTAGCAGTTTCCTACTGAATTAACAAAACCCTACATCTTACATGGGATGTATGTTTGGGCAAGAAGGAACGCTAGCCCACTGATACAGGAAAGAGGATACTCATTATGCTTTTCACATATCTGAGAACTTGTTTCCTTCTTTGGCACAAGCTGGTTCACTCTACCTTCATGGAATGACTTTCAGCTTCCCTGGAGTTTTTAACATAACAGAGAAGTTGCACGGTTGCTACGTCAGGAGGGAGGAAGAAGGTTGCTTGGGGCTCATGGAGGATGAAAGACCATAGAATCACAGAATGGTTTGGGTTGGAAGTAACCTTAAAGATCATCTAGTTCCAACCCCCTGCCATGGGCAGAGATGTAGAAGACTTCTCTTTGTTTCACCTCTCTTCTTTGCCTACTATCGTAGTAGGCCTACTTACGGTAGGACTACTCAACTATGTTAGACTTGTTCCAATGTTTTAACAAACAGGAAACTCTCTAGAGAAACACATTGTGAAGCTTATGAAATTATTTGTGTTTGTATCATTTGTATAAAAAAAAGGAAATAGTTGGTTCAATAAACTTTCTTTTAAAAAGGCACTTTTAAAACAGTAGTATTTCTTACATGTATCCATTAGCCGCAAGCATATCAGCCATGTATCTGGTGTTTGGGAGTTGCCATCCAAATATGAATCACAATCACAGCTTTGTCTGTGCTGGCAGGGGGGCTGCAAATATACGCTTTGATGTGCTCAACTTGCACTTCCTGCCCACGGCCTCCATAGTCGAACTTGTCTCCAATATCACACGGGCAGGGCCTCAATTCATTAGCCATGGGTGATACTAAAGAACAAAAAATATTACTTTGTGAATATCCCAGCATACCATACTGAAAACGATCAACATACAGTATCATAGACAATGAAATTCTTGAACCATTACAGTAATATTGTGAACACACTCACTACTGTTAGATCTAAAATGGAACATTAGTCAGTAATCCCACTGAGTTGTTTTTTTATAAATAATAATTTTGTTGGAGTTACTTATGTTATGAACTCTTCAGCAGGGACCTGGTACATAACTAGGAGATCTGTGACCTACAGTAATAGAGGAAAAACACGGTTAAGACCAAACACCCAGGCAACCATCACCAATTATTTAAATACTGATGAAGCCAGTTCTTTCACTCTTCGTGGTGTGTGTGCCCTTGTCAGGAACACATGACTTTCTTTAGTATAGACTGTAAAGGTTTAATAAAGGACCATGCATTTTGAAGGAGGAAAAAACTCAAAACACAGCTACTGTGTAGAAAGGTATAATTGCACTTAGATTTAATGTGATACTTTCCTCCAGAGACTTAAAATATTCCATAGCTGACCTGTTCAGTGTTAAGAAATCCTTTTTCTAAACCAGATTTAGCATCAGGTGTTGCAGAGTTCTGAAGAAGAATACTTGAGGGAGGTGCCAAAAAAAAAAAAACAACAGTGAAATCCAGAGAATAGAATCATATTTATTTAATATTAAATAAAGAATGCGTTCAAAATCCAACACAGGAAAAAATAAAACTGCTGAACATAAGGAAAAATTCCTTCAGTTGAGCCAAATGTTTTATGAAGAAGGTAACAGTAGGGTATGGTTAATTTTTTACAAACTATTGCTTAAATGAAAATAAACAAGTAATTCACAAAGGTCAAAAAATACCAGCGAAATCTCAACAGAGACTCGTGTAGCTCCTCGGTCTCAAGTTAATGGTTTTATGCCACTGACCTTACATTAACCACTGGGTGTACCAACTTCATACGGCTGCCAAGTGACTTGAATATCTTATTTGAATATGTACAGAGCATCTCCAAGTTAATAAAGAACGTGGAGAAAATTTAGATAAAGCTTTACCTAAACTCTCTACAGATAAATTATGAGTACTCTCCAAGAAAACTTAGCTAGTACAGCAACAAGGGTGTTCAAATTGACTATGCCAAATACACTCCCAGAGGGAAATAGGAAAAAGCAGGTTGCTGAACACTCCCTGAACTAGTGTGACTTACACAGTTGTGGCACTAAAGGGACAGCTTGAGGAAAACAAAAAAAGCAAACAAGCCTGCAGCCAAGAGATTTGCACAGATTTCCAGGGACCAAGATGTTCTCGATTTACACACTTTAAAACTCAGAATATCTCAAGCAGTATTAGCAGGGCTAGGGCTGCAGATCCTGCAAGATTTCATTTTCACAGACCATTTCAAGACAAGCTGTATCTTATTTGAAAACTGTATTAACTCTGGGCACACATTTATACTAATACTCCACTTTTCTTTTTTTTAATAAGACACACCCAACCATAGGTGGTTTTTTCCACACGTTGTAGTCTCGCACGTAACACTTTGAATTTAAAATAAGTCTACCAGAAAAAAATTAAAAGATGAGATATAAGGCAAAATACAGTATAAATATATAATAGGAAAGAGTTGATAACTAAGTTTCCTTTCACAAATTATTTCCTTTTGATTGGACTAAAATCACAAAATATAACAAGACAGGCAATTGAAGGAAGATGTATTTCAGTACTCCAGAAACACAAACGCAATGCCCTTACCAGTCAGTATATCTTTAAAGGCTTTAATTACAAACATTTCACATTCATGTACTAACACATAAAACGTAAAGCAAAATATTAAACGTGTCATACTTAAAGATGCAGGCACAGCAGCTGAGGAAAAGAGCCCCCTTCACAAGCCGGTGAAGGGCAGTGTTGGCTTGCATGGTTTATAAGCCACACACACTTGTAAGCTCTGTAGCGTAATCAAAGTTTTTTGACATTTCCACATTTGCCGTAGCACGCATTACAGGCAAATCCTATCTTTTTCCATTTCTGAGATGCTACTGAAACATTCCTTAAAGATTAATCCCCCTCCCTCACACCCAACAAAGCTATTCTTTTAGGAGCTTCTGTAAACCCACAGTCTCCACCATCCCCACTTGCAAGCACTTGAGCATTTGAAGACCAAACAGCAACCTGGACACACAACCAGAAAAATACAAAGATATTGCTAAGTGGCTCTTTCAACTGACTCTCCTGAGTCCCCTTCCTGAGAGGTCTTGCTCACCCCAGGAGGGAAACGAAGAGGTTTCTGAACCATCATCTCAAACAATTAGAGAAGCAAGCAGCACCCCGATGGCATCTAAATGAGCACGCACTCTTTAAAAAAGCAGCTAGATAAAATGAAAGTCCCCCAGACATGCCGAGTCAGGCCTCAGCGTGCACTTGTATTACATTTCTCAGGCAGAAAAGCCATGAAATTGAAAACACACAAACAAACCCCACCGCATACCTGCAGCACAGGGAGCGTGTGAGATGGCAGAGGGAAGACGCAAGAGCTCGGCACGGATGGCTGCCACTGAACGTGATCCCAAAATGAAGCGCTAACGCAAAGAACGAAAGGGGTGAGTGCAAGCATCGGGTTTCTCCAAATAAGAGTTACGTAAGCTGCTGCCTTTATCTTTGCGTGTCGCAGAGTCACAAAGTAAAAAGTTCACTCTTTTTAAAGCCATTCATTTTATTGGTAGCGTGGGCAGGGCGTGCTGCTGTGAGAAGTACCCCTGCAGCCGAGTACCCAACCTCCCTTCCAACTGACACGGGAATCGGGTGTCTTTTCAGCTTAGGAAACATGTTGACTTAGCTGAGCATTTACACAAAACATTCTTATTGAAAGGGTGTTCCTTTGTTTTCAAAGGTTGGGGTAGTACTACCTTTAAACGTCAGGCCGGCATTAGTATTTCCTTAGACTATTCATGGGTTGGGAAAAGACGTACCTGAAGTCATCACTGGGGCGAGGTGGCGAAGCAGAGACATCATTTCAAAGCTGCAAAACAAGACAGAGCTTATATAGCATTGGCAAAATGTTTTCTCTCTCAGAATGAAAACAAATAATGTGTAAAAACATAACATCATTTATAATAAATGTTTAAAACGCTGACACGGTTTTATCCTGTCACAGGACATTTTGTACATTTTTTTTCCTTTTGAATTAAAGTGACTGCCTGATCCTCGTAGCCTTCCCATTCTCCTGACTTTCTTTTTATTGGATTATTAGGATTATCCTTTTAAGAGCTTTATCTAAGGATATTAGCAATCAAAACTCACTGTTTCCTCAGAGGCACATCCTAGAAGTAGCACTAAATGCACGTGCTACTCTACCACAACTTTGCCTTGGGAAGGCAACCAGCCTTACAGTTTAGTCCTCACGTAGAAGCTCTTTTCCCACACCGTAAATAACTTTGCCAATGCTACTTATTTACAATTCCTAAGCGGAAGTCAAGTGAATGAAAAAAAGCCCACCAAAGAATTCCAGAGTGAAGTCATAAGGCTCAGAGCTTGGTTTGGTTTTCTGGCTTTTCCCACTTTTACACCACAAATTAGAGCACAGAGGGAGCATAGGTACTCCATGGCAACTTCAAAGAACATTTGGTAGTAAAATAAATGTGAGGAAAAAATGGCAGTTTGAATGATTCCTAGAAAAGAGAAATTACACCGATGTTTGCAGAACCTTCTCTCCACTGATGTTGCTTAACCACGTTTCCACTCCCTTAGTCACTGTACTGTGGCTCTGGAAATCCCTCCTTATCCATAAGGCTATGGCCCATTACATTAAGAGGAACGTTAAAGTTCAGAAATTAAATGGGTTTTGATTTGATTCCCTGTTGAATCCCTGCTCCTTGCTGAACAGTCCGTTCAGCTTATTCTTCCTTAGAAGTGAAAACGTAATTCGGCACACTCACGATCTCCGTGCGCGCAGCCGGCGGCGCTCTGCACAGTAAACACACACCTCTCCCGGGTCTCACCCTCCCAGCTCTCACGCAGTGGTTATGGTGTTGTCATGAAGATTTGCCCGTACTTGTAGTAACTCGTAGCCAAGCCCTTTCTATTCAAACCAACGCTGCGCCTCGGGTTTTTTTTGGTTTTGCTTAGTCACGGTGCGAGTGCTCCAGCACACACGCCAGTTCAGTACTTATGAATGACTGCTCTTCTCTAAATATATGACCTGATCGTCCTCTCGCATGTTAGCCAACCTCCTAACACTAACAGAACTCCAGTAATGTGGAGCTATCCAGGCTTTACACTGGGGTAATTAAAGCACAATAAACTTCCAGACCTCTATGCTCTTCTCCTGGAAAAATGTGTTAGGAGAGCTGCCTCACCCAGATAACAGCCAGATCAGTATGTTGTGTATAGATGGTATCATGTTAAAAGCAACAATTAATCGGAGTCGCAGGCCAGAATCCTCTGAAGACCTCCCCAGGGGAAAGATGGAGGGCCATTAGCAGCATGTAAAGGAGCAAAACGTGGATGGGAAAAAGCAAAAGAAATAAAAATCCCATTGAGAGATGGTTAATTAATACTGTTGACTATTTTTACGTGAGACACTCCTCAATGTGTATTTCTCTGACAGTACATTTAATCAGAGAGATTGTCATTAGTAACATTGACTTTCCTAAATTGCACTTACTCCCCATTAAATCCCATAGCAATTTATCAGTAGCACTGAGAAGGTGAAAAGGGTCAAATGTTCTTTTGGGTTTTTCTCCTTACAACTTCAGACGTCCCAGCACCCAGCAAAGACACGAGGCAGCTGGTTTCAAACTAACGAGCACAAGCCTTTCTCCCATGAGGCATAATGACACGGTGGAAGTCACTGCCACAGGGTGGACGAGAGGCCAGCATTGCGGGCAGGTTCACAAAGGGACTGGCAAATCCACCGAGAAAGGCTAGGCCCATCACTGGCCATCCCACACACCGCTCCAGTGGCAAAATCCAGCTCAGGAATCCCCTGAAGGGCTG